GATGCAACCAAAGCGCAGATGTTAACGGTAGAGGCACAGACCGTGCTAACGCCAAAGCACGGTGGAATTTAAGGCGTTGCCTACCGCTTCTCGTCGGCTTACCAACTTGCGACCCTGCTGCTTGCCGTTTGTTTCGATCCTAGGATGGAATGCGAACAAGAACGAGAGATGCAGTCAGCAGCGAAGGCGATCGCTAATGGAAGCGTGTTGTACCAAATGCCGTACAATAGTAACGAACGCTACCAGAGCTAAAAGAAAAGGAATGGTAAACCACTTGCCACGAACGCTGTTCGTGACACCCAAAGACGATTTGTGAACGAATCTGTTCGCCGTATAGCAGAATGGCAAGAGTTGCGATAACTGCGAAAAGGGACACACACAGGGGGTCAAACAAGGCGGCAAACAGGGGAGTTGACTACTGGCCCGCGAAGATGAACGCCAAGAGTCAAACGGTTCGTGCGCGCACAAGCCGCAAGTAAATGTTCCATCAAAAAGGAGCAAAACGCTGATGTTTACGACGCGTCTGTTGTACCTGTTAGTTGAGGTATATTACAAGGGATTTCGAGAAAACAAAGAGGAGGAACATTCGCCTTCTAGCAGAGATGGGGTCGAAGATATGACAGTTGTGTAACAAACAGATAAAGATACAGGAAATAACGAGAGTTCTCGAGCAGCACGAAAAGCTGTGGGAAACAATTTCTATTTTTCAGGAAAGCATGCATATAGATAGATTTATGCCTTTGTTACACGGTACGTGTGACATGTTTGCTAGGTTATGTAGCCTGTCCATAGTTAAGGCGCGTTACCGGAAGAACCAGCCTAATGATGATTTTGTTCTGGGAAAGATGTTCCTTGTAATGATAGGCTAATTGCGAAAAAAGAAAGTTGATGAAATTATTGCTAAAGTTAAACAAGACCATTACGTTAGAAGCTATAATATCGCCAATAAACTCAACATCTACCATCAGACTATTTTAAGTTATTTAGAGAAAGTTGGCTGTGACAAAAGTTCAATCGAGTCGATACAGATAACTGTTTTCATTGGATTTCTATTCGTGAAACGTAACGGAACCGAGTTAATACGAGTAACCAAAAACAGATCATCTTAGTGGGCAAATGAAAAACAAATATAAATAAGTTAGTGACAACGCCCAGAGTGCCGCTAAACGACATTATGGTAGGTGTTTGGCGGGATTGGGAGAAGAATCGTGCATTATGTCGCCTAGCAAAGTAACAATTTCTAGTGTTAACAATAACGAGATTGCAACAAGCCACTGAAAAAATCGATCGGAACTAGTGAACAGAAAAGGTGTCGTCTCCAACTAGGCCAATGTCGGACCACATACATTTTCAATTAGTTGGTAAAATTAAGAGAACTTGAGCGCAAATTTTAATATATCCGCCATATCGTTCCCACTTTGGACAATCAGACAATGTTTCGGCCTCTGCGGCACTTCTTTAATATTGTTAATCCGGTTTTAATTGAAGGGATGCAATATTCATCATCACAGAGGCTCTACAAAGATAGAACGTTCCTCGAAAAAAAGGCAGAATATCATTGATCGAAACAGAAAAAATAACCGTTTCACTCTTTACTCAGAGACGGTTGACATTTATTTCAGCAGCCCAACATACCTATACAATTTACGTGCGGCCTTAAGCGAGAATATACATAATCGGGTCCGTTCAGGTCATGCATCTTCCATACACCTTCTACCATGCTCACTACTATTTCGAAACTCCATTGGCCGTAAAGACTCCACGTGTGCCAGTGGACCTTTGTACTCAGCCAGATACGTTTGTCTTTTATCATTTTAGCGCTACTTTTGCTGACAACAGGCTTTCCGTAACTACATTTTTGTTGTTCTCTTATTGTGGCTGTTGCCGTCGTAATGATGATGTGGCCTGTCCTATTTGCTGGACGGATTCCGTACTCCAGAGTCGGAGCGGGCAGCGAGTGGACACGCCACATAACTAGAACCAAGCTTGCTACTTCATTCTCCTTTGCGGCCCTTTACAGACGCGTATATGGACTTAACTCGAGAACCCAAGCCCTCTTTGCAATGTCCTGCTGGTCTACCAAGTTCGAACCGTTACACTAAGAAGCTATGCCGGTCGGGAGCCCTGGCTAACAACATGAACGAAAGCTGTGGAATGTGCAATTGTCTCCACTTGGGGCGACGGCCCTTCCTCTGTGTTTTGCTGTGTCTGCATTTCGCGAATAGTCTGTGCTGCTGGCGTAGTTGGGCAGCAGCAGCAGCTGCGCCGCCGCCGCTCATGGCTACGAAAGACTTTTGCCTTTATCAGTTGCAAAGCGAAAAGGTTGCGAACAACGGTTTAGCCTCAGCCGATTGACCGTGTGGGGTGACGCGTCGACGGGGTAAAAGTGGCCTTAGCCTGCCGCCGACAGTGGACAGCTTCGATGGTGAACAACTCATTCGATAAGTTACAAATGTGCCTGCCCTATAGCATAGTGAGTGGCAAGAGATATTTCTGCCATACTTCTGCCGCTGGCCAATGGGCATTGAAGGGGTGTGGGGAGGAAGCGTTTCCTCATGAAGAACAACCGCTCGTTTTGCGAGCTTAACTCTCAGCTCTACCCCGGACGGTTGCACCGCCATGGAACGCCATCGTCTGCTGTTTGGTATCAGCTGTTTTCGCCAAGTTGGCGGACCGGCGAAACAAAACTCGGGACGAAACGTGGAATGAGCGAAGGACAATGGCCTTGCTGAGTGACTTGTGCGCAAGCTGCCTATATTGCGAGAATATACGGAAGGTTTGCGAGCGACGTGTGATACCCATGCCGGCCACGGATGCCGCGTCATTAAGTGCAAAATTCCATCGAAAAGAGAAACAACTGGCGGAACGCAACTCTTTGCCAACTGCGCCCAACTCCCATTGCTGATTTCTGTCTCCTAGTGGCCGGGTGTCCAACAGACCAACCGCCTTGTCGCTGGTCGGTCTGGTGTTTTCTATTTTCATTGTTGTGTTGTTCCTTTCGAAGTCCGAAACTTCGCACATCTCTGCGGCTACCCACGCACATATGCGTTTGTATAACTGGCGGATATGGTCACTACTGTTAAGAGCAAGCTGATGCTGCTTCTGCTGCTATCCGTGAAACAGAGTTTTCCTAAGGCCAGCCCCCACGCCGAGAAGATCGTTCCAGCTCTCCACACGCTGCCGACAACCTTCATGTCCAAGCATCACCACCACGAGACGAAATACGAACAGCGGGGTAGACCAGTTCCCGCACCCCAGTGGCAGTGCGTGGGCGCAGTTGTAAGTCGTCGCATTCCTCCAAAATCTCACTAATAGGTACAATAGCAGAGGGCATTTCTACAGCTGTAGGGGCTGGCTGTAGTTGCTGTTGCAGTATTCGTTCGCAATGCCATTCCCGTCATGTAGCTTGAGGACGTCGTGGCTTGCGGAGGGGTATTGTGCGTGCGTCCGTGCGTGCGTGCGTGCGTGCGTGCGCGCGTGATAGAAGTGAGCGGCTAACGAAATGTGGAAGGAAACATCGGTCGGGGGTGGCTGGGAAAATGGGAAAAGTAGACCTTCTTTCCCTCAAATTTGTATAATTAACCATAGCGCAGGACGTCGCAGCGGCCTCCCCTTCGACCATCCGTGTAGTATGAAGGCGTTTCTCGGCGTTTCAAAGCGTGAGGCGGCTAGTGTTGCGTGCGACATACATCGTTTTCGAATATAGAGAAGATGAAGATGGGCATGGCACAGCGGGTCGGGCTTCTGCGTCCATTCGAGGCCTTAAATCTACGGTTAACGCTTCCCAATCTCCTGATTTGTTGTCCGGGCATAGGGAAGGATCAAATTAATCGTGCCTTGTTGTTGAATTTGGTACTACTGCCATTGCTGCGTTGGATGGTTGTTCAATGTTGAAGGAAATTATGGCTGGCATACAGCAGTCTATGGCCTGCACGTTTGTTGGCTGCCGACGATGTCAAATGTGAAGCAAATTTCACAACTGGGTTTCGACAAGATAAAATTAGCATGGCTCGAAAAGGCGAAACTGGAAGCAGTTGTACTGTTTGGCATGAATGGGTGTGTTTGGCTACTCAGCGTGAATTTTCTATTCTGCTATAGTTTGCATTCTGGGCTGCCAATTTGTTGGAGTTCCCGCCAACACACATATATGTATAAACCGAATTTTAGAACATCACCACTATTTTTTACGTTTCCGACTTAAGGGAACGTTAGTATTTAATAACACCAGTTGTGTTCTATATAAAGTTAAAGGACTTGAGATTGAGATACTGAAGCTTTCATATATATATACATATATATATATACATATATATATATAAGCCACATATATATATATATATGTGGCTTATCGAAGCAATGCGGAATTAGCCCTTGGGGACAGCGTTATGGAGATAGGAAACACGAGACCATGTATTGCCCCGTATACCTATAAACTACTTGAATATGTTCAGTACTGATGGTATTGCAGGGCTTAAATCAATTCTGTCCTCTTAATGCCTAAAGTTTATTGTTTGAATTGTGTCCGTTGATCTACCTGGAAACGAGGTCATGAATATTGGCATTGATCCTACGGAAAAAAATTCATTTCGGTGAAAAAAATGATTACTGGCAGCGACAAAGAAATATCATGTCTGTGCTAAAACCGCACGTCGTATCTACGCAATAAATCAATAAATCGAATGGCCAGCTAGCCGGTGAAGGAAACCAGTAGTTTCACCAGTATTTAAAAAATTAACGTTAACTCGAGTCGTATTATTAACTTCAATAGATCCAAATAGTATACCTAAAAATTAGGACTTTTTCCACCTCGTTTTACCTATTATGATGTTAAAAAGTTGCCAGTGAATCGATACCATATCAACCTCACGTTGATCTGATTTAGATATTTTAGGGACGGAGACGAAATCCTATAGTAGAGACATTCATGCACTACTAGCATACAGGTAAAAATATATATAATCTAAAATGTTCATGAATTTATATACTACTTTGGGTTGCAGCATTTGTGTAAGCGCCTTGCGAGCTCCTCATCTCGTCTGATCGTGATTGATAAGATCAGCTGCCAGTCGGATTGGAAACCCCGGCACGTGTTGGTAATAGTTTGGTAATAGCAACTTTTAAGGGTCATCTGCAAAGATGCCTTTAGACGATTCAACAGAAGATATTACCTCAAGTATAGCTGAGTCGCTACTTCGTAAGGTGGCGTTACCAGCTAACTGTCTCACATCCTTGAGCCAGCTCATTGATCGGCCGAAAAAACTTCACGACACCATGTTTGATTTACTAACGAAAAACGAAATCAAAGCTATGATGCCTGACTCCTTGAAGGTAAGTAAAATTGTCAAGCGTTATAAACACGGTCATTGAATTACGGAGCAGTGAACGCGAGCCAAAAATTCGCTTACAAATCTCTGCACAATTCAATCACACTCTTCCAACAGTAATAAATAAAAGTCAAGTGACTTCCTCGGTTGGATTTGGTGTTATGCTTAGATTAACGGCTCAGCCATTTACAGCGGAACGAAGAAAACGTGGCGTCGTTTTTTGTTTTTCACGGAATCTACCACAGTGCGTTGCCTTTTACCAGATGACTAATTAACAAACACCTGCAACCGCAGCACGATTGCTGATTGTCTTCCCAGTTTGTCTACTCGTTAATTAACAACTGTTTTTGTCTTCATGACGAACTTATCTAAATAATGGTGACATATCTTTTATTGAACGGAAGACACAGTGTGATTCCATTAACTTTATGCTAATTTGTTTGATATAGAGATCTTCATATATCACACATTTACTAATAATGTTTTTGATCGTCTTTTAGTCGATGACTGTATCAGAGCTGAAGCTGAAATGCCTCCGGATACTAGAAAAACTGTCGCCTGAGGAAATTGTCAAAATGATCCGGCATGGTAAGTAGGAAGTGGGCATATCTACGTGTGCCACTGATACGAATGTAGAGAACTACTATAATAAATAGCCTTTTAGCAGTGTTATTAGCTCGTTCCAGCTGATTTTACAATCAGGTCTATCACAGGTTTGTAGACCTGAGAACATAATTTATTTTGATGTATATGTGAACAGTAATTACTACCTGACTGCATCATTCTAATTTAAATAAATTTATTCATATCTAATGTTAAATAACACCAGCTAAGAACACAATAAATGAAACAATTTAAATAAAATTACGTACTACACATATATATATATATATATATATATATATATATATATATATATATATATATATATATATATATATTACAGTATGAAATCGGTGATATTTCCAAACCAGTTCGGATTCTAGTGAACTCTTTAAACTATCATTACATTAAATAATAAGGCTTGTCTCCAAAATCCTGTCGAAAGATAAGGTACATAAATACATATCGGATATATACGTACCATCATCTATCAAAGATCTAACAACTTGCCATCTGCTTTAGCGAATCGGCCACTGCCTTTTTCGTACACGAAACGGTAGTTTAAATTCTCCCGCCCGTTCGTTTGTACGCGACATTATTGCGCTGTTGCGAGCTTGCATAGAAGCAGCTACATGAGACTTTCTATTTTTTGTCCTGCTTTTACGCTATCGTTGTCGTTATCGGCGTTATCGGCTACAGTGAAGATCACGCACTCACTTCGGTAAAAGATTCAGCGCGACTGGGTAAACTAAAACCAAACAGTTATATTAGAAACAGCTATTGCATCTGTCACTGTCTCCAAGCAAGCCGTACGTACCATTCTGACTCGACTCAGAGTTTCATCCAAGCGCAACTAACTACGCATTTCCCGTATAAGAGGCAGTCTTGCATAGCAGGTCGCGCATTGCAAATCGGTCGGACATATAGTGATAAGTGACTTGATTCGCAGGCCGGTACTGGCCAGTAAGCGAAATTACCACTTTCAAGGCGTCGCTGCCGCTGGTGACGGCCGCTGCAGTGGCGTTCATCGTAAGAGAACGTTTGCCTCGTTGCGTTGTGTACCTTTGTCACGACTCTTGCCGTGCCGTTGTTTGCGACACGCGCGCAGTTCAGCTACCAGACGTTTGCCTGGGTGTTACGCGTTTAACTCGTTTGGGATGTGTAAAGGCAGAAGTAGGGTGACAGGAAAGTGAACGACCAGTTCGGGATCGCTACCCCGTTGATGGCTGTGCACCTCAAACGGAGCCGGGACCTCACCGGCTGGTACGAAAATCTCCGTTCCACTTTGGGTTAGATGCTGTCTACTGGGTTACTAGTTGCCACCTAAGCGTTAACTTAAGTCATACTTGTGTAGCACGACTCGTATTGCTGCTGTTGTCGAGCTAAAGGACGCCCCCATGACAAAGGATGCTGTCCCTGACCCCCAACCCCTGGTCCATTTCTCTTTCTTTCTCTAGTAAGCAAGGCACACAAACTTGCGATGCGGTCGGTCTTCTTACGCTTCAAAAAGTTTCCACAATCTGCTGCTTTTGCTGTGTGCTGGGGCTGTTGCTACTGCTCAACGGACACGATCGCCGTCTCATGCGTCGTAGCATTTGCTTTGCCAACATCCTCGAACATCATTCCATCTAGCATTCGCCCCGTCTTCCGTGAAGGGTGCGTCCGCTTTTACCCCGACTCATCAGCCGGAGCTTGTCGTGGCTTCCTGTACCTCGTTCTGCACCGGTGTACGCGTGGACTCTATGCATGCGACCATTCCACCAGACATAGTTACTGTGTTGGTAGCATGTCCTTCGTTTGTTTCGTTCAATGCAACGAATCCCACTCGTGGTTAAATCCTACTAGCGCTTAGCAATGGTGGCAGCAGCAGCAGCAGCAAAACGGGGAAAAGGGGGCCAGAATTCTGCTAAACTATGCCCCTTTTGTGTCCCTCTTTTTCTCCCTCAATTTCTTTCTCTCTCTCGCCAAGAGCGTTGCAATCAGCAAAAGCCCCTTATTCGAGAAACGTGGGGCCTCTGCAGACCCTAAACCTCTAATGGCTTTGCTGCTCGTCGGAGGTAATGGCGTGTTCTGAAGCCCAATGGTCATTATATGCTTGCTATATGCTAACATCGTTTATATTAAATGCGCGTATATTTTTCTCCTTCTTTCTCATCCTCTTTCTTTCCTTCTCACCTCTTCGCTCTTTCATGTACAAAGTGTAGCTTCGAATGTTGCTCACAGAGGCAGCAGCGTCGGCGCAGGCAGCAATAACAGGCGACGACCAGTGAACACGGAAAACATTACCACGTCCGACTGGTCGTCGACACAGGTCGTCGTGCGGCACAAAGTAAATGGCAAAGTGACGCGCCCCTCAAGAGAGAAGATGCAGACAAACAAGGAAAGGCGAACAAGAGGAAGAAAAAGAGAGTGCGTGAAGCAAAAGCATTATAGAGTTAGCCGTCGTCAGCGACAACGCTGGCTGGATACCTCGCGCCCCACTACTGCTATGTGTGGGGTATATTCAGCGCACAAGGCGTTGGAACAGCCAGACTACTAGCGGCGACGATTCGGAGGTGGTGGACGACAGCCCGAAATAGAAAAACTCACACGGGATGTGATGAAGCGATGAGACGCTGCTAGGAAGCAGCAACAGCCAAGCGTAAATTGCACAAAAATGTATTCAGCGCCACGGGCGACACCAACAAGAGCAAAAATAACGAGAGAAGAGGTCGCGACGGATGGGCACTGCTCGCTCCTACATCGAGAGTACGGCGATCCGGGGCAATTTTTCAGGGGTATTCAACTTCAAAGCATTGCGTGCATTCGTTTTGAGCCAGATGTAACTACTATTGGAATTATTTCCTGCCGACTATAGATTGCATTATGTTCTGTAAAAACTAGCAGCAACCTATAATAAACATGTATTATTTTGGCATTATGGTGCGAATTTTTGAGAGCATTCTAAGCACATTACTACGGATATGCTGTCATCAGTCGTTTACCACACAAAACGGAAGCCCTACGGACGACAGGCATGCATGAAACAACATATACGTCCAAGGCAAGGTTTGCTGCGTCTACCAAGGCGTCCGGCCGTGGTTTGCCCTCCTGTCTATTTAATTCATGTGTGGGGGCAACAAGGCGTCGTCGTAACGTCGTGTAAGCGAAGCGCGAGTTATCCACGAATCTTAAGTATGTGTAGCAATTTCCTTTTTTAGCAGAAGTTGCCCTTACTGAAGAATCGCCCCATGCCGTCCTCCCATTTTACTGTGGGCAATCTTCTTGTACCTCTTCGTAGTATGTTTCGTTCTCCCTCCCTATGTTTTGCCCCTTATACGTATGTAGCCGCGAGGCTCAACAACCCACGCCATCATCGCAGCCGTGACCACCGTCTTCAGAGGATTGCAAAGTGAGGGATGAAGACTCAAGTCTTGTCCTCGTCCCAGCGATTAAAGGGTGAAGGGCTTGGCCCCCTCTGTCTCAAGATAGAGGAAGAGAAGACAGCATGCCTCCTCTGACGCCGTTAGAGGGGTTTCGAGGCCATTTCGAGCAGGCAGGCTTCCTGAGGTAAATCTGCTGACATGGCCTGCACTCCTCGACCGAGCTGCACGAGGCTTGTGCGCGTCAAATCGTGTGCTCACCGCATCGAGGCGGATGAAACTGCTAGCAACTACGACATGACCCGTTTCGTCAGGCTCATCGTCATCATCAGTAGCAGGATCGTGATCATCCAGCGGCATTCGATGCCGCGCGAACCGCAAATTGCATTAATAATTAATGATAATCTTAACAGTAACCGCAATAATCATGTTATCGAAGAGTGGCACGAGCGACGAGGCTGTCGAAGACCTTATTGTTAGTTAGTTAGTGGTTAACAGGGAGCTACATTAAATTTCACGCTAACCACGGTCCGTCCCCTAATCCATAATTTGTTCCTTTAATATTATAAGCAAGTCGAAGGCACTGAGTAGCTTCCGGACGGGGGCGGGCAACGAGAGTGAGTAATTCATCATAGAAAAGTTAGACGAGTTTGAACGAAGTGCCTGAAACGTTTGGATCGGGTGGAGTTAGCTGTACCGGGAGCTGGATGTAGAGAAACGCATTTTGATTAAATAAACACAGCGAATAGCGAGAGATACTTGGTTAAAGTACAGCCAGGGAACTTGGATTTCAATCCCGAGTCTGACAAAAGTAGGCCCGAAAGGTCTTTTCATTCAGGAGATCTATAGGGATGATGACAGTTATTGACCTGGCTGGTGCAACTTAAACATGGGATTAATTATACAGAATGAAAAAATGGACAAATAACTGTATCTGTTCAATTCTGTTTTCCAAAAAATAATAGCGGAACACTCTGCGAGGTAGGTGCAATCGATTGATCAACTAAGAAGATGAATTGAACAGCTCTACCCACAAAGTAGAAGCGACCATTTTTCAAGTTGCGAACGTGTCGGAACGGATGCGCAATATGTCAACCAAAAGTCGATGTTCTGCACTGTTCCTCTGAGAATGCGCCGAAGCATAGGACAGATGAATCACTCGTTAAATGCATACCATTTTTGTCTCGATGGCGCAGTAGTAAAGCGTTTACCTAGCAACTTTGAAGACGCCTCATGAGGTGAGACTCAGATTCGAAATCGGGCACGTGCAGACACGGTGCTCGTTTCGTGCTGGACTAAAGCAAGTCGCCAGCCGTTTGAGGCAATACCTAACCAAAATAGTAGAAACGGATGATGTGAAGCTTGAAACGTTTAGGCTGCGAGCTATGTTTTGGTACGCGCACAGTTGACTTCTAGTAGACGCGACCGGAAAGACGCTAACAGATGATGTAAGCACGTCTTGAGGGATCTAACGCGTAATGCGGAAGTAAAAACAAATCGTCGTTCTATAAAGGGGTAGCGAAAACGAGATCTGTCTATATAAAGTAAATGTTCGTGATATTTTAAAACGTTGTACTGTGAACACGTGCCTCGGTTAAGCAAGGCCATTTGGCCTTTGTTTTG